GCACTGGTCAGGAATGCAGGCACTGATGTGATGTGCGGGCAGGGCGCCATTGATTTCAATGCACTGCCATGCCCCCTCCCGCCCCAGAACGGAAGATTTTTAAATACGATCCAGTGGGTTCCAGCAGCTACTGGAACGATCTGGAAGTAGTGTGAACAAGCCCTTAAATTACATGTAAACCCTTACTGAAGCACAGTTTGCCAAAGCACAAAATGTCTTCCATGTCTTTTTCTTTTAGAAAAAAGTTTTCACTTTTTGGCTGCTGACCTCCTTCATTCTTTTTCAGCCACTTCCTGTCTACATGCATTCGCTCTTGCAGCAGCTCCACATAATTATTCTTGAGAATGGTGAAACATGTCCGTGCAATTAGCATTGGTATGGCGTCTTCGCCCCATTTCAAGTTTTTCAAGTGATTCTGAAGGGTTTTTTTGCTCCTTTTTAAGAAAGAGATGGTTGTTAGGTAAAAAAAAAAAAAAACACTCAGGCACATCCTTTGAAGTCTATGGGGCAAAAAATTCTGCCTGATAAAAAGCTCATGTACTTTTTCGAGGATCAGGAGTAACCTGAATGTTCTCCAGTTCAGGCATTCATTGTTATCTTAGTGCCAACCCCTCGGCACAATAAAATGCTAAAAAATACGTTATTTAAAACACATCCCAAAACACCTGTGAGAACTGTGCAAGTAAATAACGGTGCAGAATTTGGCCATCTCCCTGTCCACTTCGCAGATTATCATTGGCGATTGAGAATCAGGAGCCAGTGAAATGCAAGGCTGTCAGTTACACTCCACCTTTTATTGGCCGTCAGGTGTTGTTTTGTGCAGCGGCAGATCCCATGGGCACTCTGGCAGGTGCTTTTCTATGATCGGGCCCAGGCAGCGACATAATTTTGGTGCTTCACACAGCATAACGCACTCAAAACATAACTCAACCCCAATACACATTTAACTTATAAACTGATCACCATGTCGTCACACGTACTTTGTTACGATTTGTATGGGGCAGGAAGGGTGCAGTGGCTGGAGGCCACAGCCGAGCTGTGCAGGGTTCCTGGGGGTGCTGCCGACAGGATAGGGCTCCAGGGTGGATGTGGTGGTGAGGTGCAGTCATGTGGCATGGAGCCACTTATGCTTCCCCTGGCCACACGCGTGGGGAGGCTTTTGTTACAAGTGCTTACCCTGAGTTCTGTATACCTCACCTGTGATGTCACCAGGGAACCATGACACAAACCACCAATTGTATTCATCAGCATGACATCACTGGAGGCATGACACCCCTTACCAGCTTTGTACACTGACATGTGACATCACTGGAGGCATAGAATGTGAAGAAGTCATATGGCTTCTGTATAATGTATGCAACATACACTATACATGGATTCTAGTACCCCAGCGACCCCACTGCCTACTGAGAGCCTAATTCAGCCCTTTGGTGTTTGAAGTGCAGAGGGAGCATTGATTTGTAAATGGACCCTTATTAACACCAATCTCTAGCAATCCAATGTATGTAAAGCAACACTACATACTCTGGATTGTAAGGGACAGCTATGGCGTGCCTCTGTTGGCCAGCACCCTGCTTTTTGGACAGGACCGATGAGTTTGGACATACGAATAAGGCCTTGTTCACACCAAATGCAGACCAGATCCAGTCAGGTTTCTGCACACGCAGTGTAGTGGGTTGTGCCGCGTTTTAGACGCGTTTAGGGCCGGTTTTGGTTAAGTTTAACATGGGCTTTCAGGAACTTGCATGCGTTTTTGATGCGTTTTAGATGCGTTCCAGACCAGATCCAGAGCAGGTAAAATAGGGCTTGCCGCATTTTTTTCATCCGGTCTGGATCTGGTCTGGATCCGCACGCTGCGATGTGAACTGGAGGTCAAAATACCATAGGAATACATTGGACGCAGTTTTGATCCGGTCTGCACCTGCTCTGGTCCGGATCTGCTCCGCGCTTGGTGTGAACAAGCCCTAAGAGCGCTGTCATTGTCGTAAGCAATCTCCAGCAGTTTGAAGCAACACGCCCCTAGTCTTTAACTATCTCCCACAGCATGACGCAAGTATTCAACCACTCTTGCAGAGTCTCTAACCATTTCCTCTAGTAAGTCTTCAGTCTATGACAGTCTTCTGTAGCATTACATAGAATAAATATTATATGCATCCCTTTGGTGATATCAGGGGCCGCATTTGAGATCCCCAATATCTTGTAAGTTGGCAGCTACTGTTCTAGTGTGAGTGTGCATGCGTGTACACACACACATACAAATATATTATGGCCACTACAACCTCACGGAAGGGTGAACAAATTATATATATAAATATACTTCTAAATATGCACTATACTTGTACATTTAAATAAAATTTGCTTTGTTTCATCCATACATATACATTTATTTAATACATCTGGGGTTCAATTCATGTAGGAGGTCTGAACAACTGTTTTAAAGCGCCTTTGAAGGAAATTAGTTGACTCAGTGATGGCACCTTCGAATGCTCTAATTATTTTTCAGACTGTGAGTATCTTCTCATAAATTATGTATTTATTCCCTATACATACATACATATACATATACAGTATATATATATATATATTA